AATCACTTTAAGTCATTCTTCTTAGAATCAGTGAGGAATATTTCGGGCCTAACGGAGTTGGAATGGAGAAGATTATCTGAGGAGCAAGCACATGATTTGGAAAGTAAGATTCTCTCTAGAAAAAGTTAAGGACACAATCTTTGCAATGGATAGGCTCAAAGCCCTTGGCTCTGGTGGTTTCTTAATGGGTTTTTATCAAGAGTGTTGGGATTTCATCAAATTGGAGTTGTTGGAAGTGTTTCATGAATTCTATCTTAAAGGGAAGATTTCCTATGGAGTAAATGTCACCTTTATCTCCTTAATTCTCAAAAAGAAAGAGGCTTTATCTTCAATGGACTTTAGGCCAGTAAGTTTGATATGGTATCTTTACAAGATCATCTTAAAGGTTGTGGTTGAAAGGATCAAAAAGGCCTTGCCTTCACTAATTTTACCATTCCAAGGGGCTTTTGTTGAAGGAAGATAGATTGTAGACCAAATCTTAATTGCAAATGAATGTGTTGTAGAGAAAAGAAAGAGTAGATCAAAGGGGCTGATTAGCAAATTGGATCTAGAAAAAGCTTATGATTTAGTTGATTGGAATTTTTTGCTAGCGGTTTTAGAGAAGGTGGGTTTTGGTGTTAGATGGAGGTCCTGGATGAAAGGTTGTGTTAGCTTTGTCCATTACTTAATCCTTGTAAATGAGGTTGCTAAAGATTTCTCTCTGGCTAAGAGAGGTACAGACAAGGAGACCCTTTATCCCCTTTCCTTTTCACCTTAGTGGGAGAAGTGTTGAGTAGTATGATTGCGACTGTAGACACACAAGGTCTGATTAGAGGGTGGAGATTTGGTAGGGATCAATTAGTAGTTTCCCATCTCTAATTTGCCGATGATACTATCATGTTATGTGAGGATATTAATCTAGAGATGGTGAGAAATGTGAAAGCATTAATAGATAACTTTGTGGGCATGTCAAGACTGAGGATAAACTAGAGTAAAAGTGGAATTATTGGTATTAACTTGGAAGAGGGGGAACTCTCAAGTCTCAAGTTTGGCTGAGGTGCAAGGTTTGAAATGTCGATGTTAGTGGAAATGTTGGTTATCCAAATATAAGAAACATGTCGGAAATGCCCGAAATATCGTACGAAAATACTGTAAAAATCTTATCCACTTGTTGAAAGCTTTATCCAAATCTTATCCCTGCTCGGATAAGAAACAAGAAGGGAAATGCAAATGTAGCCATTACACGAGACTCTTCAGCCCCTCTCTCCCAAATTGATTGGGATTCCATTGCAGTAGCAGTAGTGAGAACAGAATTGGAGAGATTTGGACAGCTTATGAGTAAGAAAGATTCACCTAGCTCTAGCCTTCCAGATGGACAGTATAATGCAGGAGGCAACTACACTTCCTTTGCACATACAGGTAATTCATATGCAATTGCAAATCTTGCATCCACTTAAGGTAAGGAGGGACCTCCCTGGATTATAGACTTAGGAGCTTTTGAGCATATGACTAATGCCCCTACCATTTGAAGTTCCTATCAGTTGTGCTCTGGTAGAGACAAAGTCTCTATAGCAAATGGTTCACATATGCCCATTGCGGGAAGGGGACAGTTAGAGTGACCAATGATATAACTCAGTCTTCTATTTTACATGTCTCTAGGCTTCGTACCAATCTACTGTCTGCTAGTTCATTGACAAAATATTTGAATTGTTCCGTGACCTTTCTTCCCGGTAATTGTGTTTTGTAGGATCTGGAGTCAAAGAAGATGATTGGGAGTGGTCATGAGGTGAATGGAGTCTACCTTCTGAATGAGATTCCGAGGCATCAAGGCCATTATGTTAGCAACAACAGTAGTAGTGGGTCAGAGTTAGTGAACCAGATTATGCTTTGGCACAATCACTTAGGACATCTTTCTTTTAGTTTTTTGAAATGTCTTTTCCCAAAGTTTTTTGAATCTGTTCAATTATCTACTTTGAAGTGTGAGCGTTAGGAAAGCATTGTAGATAGTCTTTTAAACCAAGTAATAAAAGAAGTATTTCTACTTTTGATATTGTTCACATTGATGTATGGGGGCCATATCATATCCCTTCCATGGGAGAATTTTGTTACTTTCTCTTGCTTGTGGATGATTATACATGATATTCTTGGATATATTTGATGAGATCACGTGATGAGGTTCCTAACTTGGTAATACAGTTCCACCAGATGGTTCTCACACAATTTGGAGTGAGAACTAAGGCTTTTAGATCAGATAATGCAGAGAGTACTTTGAGAAGGACCTGACCACGTATCTCTTAGAACATGGTGTAGTTCATCAGAGCAGTTGTGCATATACACTGCAACAGAATGGAGTTGCTGAGAGGAAAAACAAACACATTGTGGAGGTGGCAAGGAGTTTTATGGTGTGTGTTTCAGTTCTTGTGCAGTTCTGGGGAGATGCAACTCTTATAGCCGTGCATTTGATTAACCGTGTTCCTTCATGAACTTTGGGGTTTAAGGTGCCATTTAGCCATTTGGAACATATACCTTTGAGGGTTTTTGGTTGTGTTTCTTTTGCTCGCATTCTTGGCCCTCATCACAAGAAATTGGATCCTAAAGCGAAGAAATTTGTTTTTCTTGGGTATGCTCAGAACCAAAAGGGGTATTGCTGTTATGATCCAGTGTCGAGGAGCAGATTTGTCACTATGGATATTACCTTCTTCGAATCCACATTCTTTTTCTCGTGTGGTTCTCCTCAGGGGGAGAGTTCTGGGGAGGTGAGCTCACAATCTGTTCCTATTCCTGTTTCTATGGTGCTTCCATCAATTCAGCCAACACCTGCACCTCTAGTTTCATTACCTGAGCTGCTACAGGCAGCCTCACAGAAATGTCAACGCCGGCAGATGATGGTTGACTTCACACATCCTCAACCCACACCACTCTCTGTCAGTCCTTCTAAAACTTTAGATTCGACAGATACAATTCCAGGTATTCCTCTTGAGCCAGAGCTTGTTTAGTTTTCTGATGATAATGTTTCTGTCCCTAACACCATTGTTGTAGCTGATCCCACTGACCTTGATTTCTCATTGCACTTCGTAAGGGGAAGAGAACGTGTACAACCCACTGCATTTCACACCATCTTTTCTATAGTGCCTTATCACCCTCCTACCATGCTTTTCTTTCTTCCTTGGATTCTGTCTATACCCAGGAATGACTGAGGCTGTATCCAAACCTGAGGGAAAAACAACCATGCAAGATGAGATTGATGCTTTGGTCAAAAACCAAAATTGGGAAATAGTTGATCTCCCCCCAGACAAGGAGAAAGTCGGATGTAAATGGTTATTCACAGTGAAGTATAAGGCCGATGGCAAGATAGAGAAGTACAAGGCAAGGTTGGTAGCGAAAGGGTATACTCCAACCTATGGTGTTGATTATCTGGAAACCTTTGCACCAGTAGCTAAGATGAGTTCAGTTCGTATCCCTTTATGTCTAGCAGCCACCTATTCATGGCCCTTGTTCCAGCTTGATGTCAAAAATGCTTTCCTCAATGGTGTTTTACAGGAGGAGGTATATATAGACATTCTACTAGGCTTTTATGAAAATATTGGTAAAGGAAAGGTGTGCAGACTCAGAAAATCTCTGTCTGGATTGAAACAGTCACATAGGGCTTGGTTTGACAGGTTCAGAGGGGCACTCATCCGTTTTGGATACACATGATCACACCCTCTTTGTGAAGAGGAGAGATGCTTTGGTGTCATTCTAATTGTGTATGTGAATGATATAGTGGTGATAGGAAATGATCTGGAGGAGATTGATGATTTCAAATAAGAGAAGATTTATAGAGTTAAATATGTTTCTTCCTCTCTCTGTCTCCTCTTTAGTCATTTTGCCATCTTCTCGTCTATATGTATGCCATCCGCTTGCCATTTTGATCTTTGCCTTTCTTGTTACTATATATTTTGATTAGATTTTGAATCTTTCTTTGTTACTATATCCAATTGTTCTTGCAGGGAAAGATTTTCAAAAAGAAATTGATGATTTGAACAAAATATCAGAAAGTTTTGATTGCATTCTAAATTTCTAAAGCCTAGATGTATATTTTATCAATAAAATTGAAAAAAATAGTCAATATATTGTAATGTATTGGAGATGTGAGGGAAAAAGATTCTAACAATATTTAGTATGTCCCTTTTGTGAAACGAGGAGATTTGCAAAATCTCATTGATATTGTGAACCATGCTGCAGGGTGGTTGCTTTAATGTTTAAACTTGTAGGTGCTGATTCTTTTCAATTCTTTTTTGATTGATTGATCTGCGTTTCTCTTTGTTTCCTTTTCTGTTACTGTTTGTTCTGCTTTCTTTGTCATTCTGTTTATCTGTAGAAGATGTCCCTTCTTTGACCTGGAATCCCTTAAGGCTATGTTTGGTTTGAAGGAAAAGGTAGGGAAAGGAAGGGAAAGACAGGGAAACCAATACAAGGTTTGTAAATGTTTCCCTACATTTTCCTTCAAACCAAACATAGCCTAAAGGTCCATATTAGTGAATTCTACCTCATGTTGATCATACCATTATTGATTTTTTTTTTTTTTACTATTTATTGTTTGATGCCCTATATTTATCAGAGTATCTTACATTTGTTTTGGCTAATAGAGCTGCTCTATAGCATCTATTCTGTTATCAAATATATTGTTTATTATCAGTTTCCTCTTCTTGTGGCTACATTCATTAAGAAGTGAATTAACTTGCCTATTACTTGGGTGAAAATGCTACATATACTACGTTGTGAAACTATGGTGGAAGACATGCACACTCTGTGTTTGTGCAGGGGGGTTTCAGTCTCTAAATCAGTTTTGGTTTCTTATATCTGTAACTACTTGTACTACTTTGTCTTTCTACACTGGACGATATGCAAGATTTCTCTCTCTCTCTCTCTCTCTCTCTGTGATGATGTTGGTTTCTGCTATCATTGCTAATTTCTTTTTCTTCTTGGTTATCTGAAATTCACTTACGGACGTGTGTGGCCTTTTGGCTTCTGCTTTGCAGTTATAGCAGTAGACTTGAAGCAGACTGTGCAGGTTGACAATGAACTTCAGATTCGTGCATACTATGCAGGGCATGTATGGGCTTTGATCTTTACTTCTTTAGCTGTGCCATGCTGAAGTTACATGAAAATATTACTAAGAAGTGCGAAGAACTTAGTCTTGGGTTGCATTTGGTTTCTAACTGATCTACCTTTCCAAGACTTGTGTGAATTTTCATATCCGAGCATAGTTGTCAAGGCGACGCCTAGGCGACAAGGCGCCTTTCGTGGCTCACCTCGCCTAATCGCCAAGCAGTTTTGTACTATGCATTGTAAAATATTTTTTTATTCTTTATTTTTTGACATTATAATTATAAATTAGGCACTATTAAACTAAAATATTCATTTTTTGTGTTTATATACTAATTTGTTTTTATTATTTTCTTATTTGTTAGGATTTAATCAATACAAACATTGCTAAATGCTGTATTGAACCTTCAAAGACTTTAAAACCTGAACCAATAAGTAAGGAAGAACTTAAAATTTTGTCTAATCAACACACTTTCTATACTTTAACATGAACTCTATACTTTTCTTATGAAAATTATGAATAATTATTAAGGAAATATGGCTATGGTACCTAGGGAACTACCCTAGGATCTATGTTTTCTATATAAAAAAATCCATCGCCTAGGCGCCCGCCTAGGCGACTAGGCAACAAGGCGCCCCCCAGATGCCCAACCTAACCTTGGCGCCTTGAAATCTATGGATCTGAGTTTTCTTTTGGTCTATAGTTGTAGTTGGTACTATCTATTTTTTTTGTTGCTCCTTAGCTTCATTTTGGTGTGAACCTCAAGGGATAAAACTAACTTCGTGGGATAAAAGGAAAAAGCATTGGTAGCTGAAAGCAAAATAAATAAATAATAAGTAAAATGCACATTTCAAAAAGACCTAGGTGTTGTTTGGTGTGTCCTTTTTGGCACACCTTTCAGTCTGCAGAAAGCTCAAAAGACCAAAAATTGTCTTTTTCTGTTTGGTATCGTGTAGTCCGAAAGTTGGGAAGCTTCAAATGAAGCTTTTGGTCTTTTCACACTGAAAATAGCCTTCCTAGCTGTTTTTAACAGCCTGGTAGACCATGATGTGAACTGAACAGTCTTTGGTCTTTAAAGACCAGACCCCAAAAGCTCAATGCGCCTTCTTGTCTATTGGGCTGTTGAAAGATCTACCTAGATAGACTTGCCAAACAGCCCCCTACTCTAGAGGATTGACTCAGCAAGGATCTATGAACTTATTACCAATAAGATGCATCCATTTACTTAATGCATAATAACAAGAATTCTAACTCCTCTACGGTAAAGCCTAGATCTTTTCTCCAACAATGTTGTTGTAATGAAAAGAGGCAAAGCAAGCTGGGCGAAGGATTCCTAGTCAAAATGGTTTGTCAGCTCCACCATTTTCTTTTCCCACCTTAATGTGAATATTTTCCTTCAATCCCCAAATCCACTCTAAGATTGTTCAAAGATGCTAATACAACTATACAAGTAGATACTTATATTGATTTTTTTGGTGGGTTTTCACTGATGTTGATTAATTTTGTAGATACTTATGTATGTATATTATCCCACTTGTATAGTTTCACCTTACACCGATATATTTTCTCTTTTTTATTGGAAAAACAGGAACTGGTCAGACTCGTGAACAAGCAATCAGTTGATAAATCTCTACTTTTCCTGTCATCTTTTTTCGTTCCGTGTTCATAAACATTCTAAGTTTTTAACGTTTAACTGTTGGAAAGTAGAAGATTGACTCTCTGATTGATTCTTCATAGTTTTAGGTCCATCAGTTTAGGAAACATACATAAGTTAGTTTCCTAGAATCATGGGATATTAATTGGAGAAACCCACTGCTATAGAAATTAGTTTTCTAGGAAAAGTTAGTTTCCTATTTTACCGCCCTATAGGTTAGCTCTGTAATTCTATATAAAGCTGCGTATATGCTCCTTCCAAGACAATACAATCAATTCATTTTTTCTCTCAAATTCTCTCATGGTATCAGAGCTGGTCACAACCTAATCTACACATAGTATCTCTTCGGTCATCTATGCTGCTGTTGGTTCAAGAACTCTCTAACAGTATTTGGGAGGTTCTTGAATGTCCTTGATTCTTCTTCGAGATCGGCTACAGATCTGAACTCTACAATTTTTTTCTTCTTTTGGACTACTACGCCATCAGATTCATCCTTTTTCTTAGATCTCTTTGTAGAGACATTGGATCAGTCTACAATCTTAGATCTGGTGTTGCTCAGAGCAGATTTACTGAATCCCTTTGGTTTGGTTTGGATCAGTTTTGATTTTGAGAGGTTTCGATCCACTCTTCAGTTTGGTGGAGCATTACAGTTACCTTTTTTTGGACATTGAATGAAAGATTCTTTAGGCCTTCATCGCCAACCCTTACTAAATTTTTCAGACCTTCATTGTCTGTTTTTTCTCTCTTTCTTGAAGCCCGCTCAATATGTCAGAAGCCACTATATCAAATACCACTGCACAATTGGAAGAAGTCTCCTCCCATCAAGCATCTGGCGACCTGCAAAACATTTAGGCAGCATATAGGTTGAACAGGAAAAATTATTTGAAGTGGTCTCAGTTTGTTCGAACATATTTAAAGGAAAGCTTAGCCATCTCTTAGGGATGGGACCGAAGGAAGGAGATCCATGATTTGATGCATGGGACGAAGTTGACTCCATGATCATGTCATGGTTATRGAATTCAATGAACCCTGAAATCAGTGACGTGTACATGTTTTTATCCTCGGCTAAAGAGATCTGGGATGCTGTTCGACAAACATATTCAATGGCACGTGATGCAGCACAAGTGTACGAAGTTAAAGTCAAGAATGGAGCGACTAAACAAGGCAGCAAGACAGTTATTGAGTACGCAAATTTTCTGCAGAACCTGTGGCAAGAACTCGATCATTATCGGTGCATTGAGACTAAATGTGCAGCGGATGCAGCAATCCTAAAGAGTTTTATYRAAAAAGATCGCGTTTATGACTTTCTTGCAGGACTCAACACAGAATTTGATCAAGTTAGGGTCCAGATTCTCGGCAAAGAAGAGGTACCATCTCTAAATGAGACTATTTCTCTGATT